GCGCCCGCCTGCTCTGGAAGGGACCCTAGGAGGGAAAGGTCGCAGAGAGAGTGGGAGAAAATGGTGGAAGGGAACTCAAAATTGTACAAGAGACCAGGCCCACTGGTCAGAGCGAGATGGTGGAAACCCTGAGACTCTGGCTCTTAGATGCCCTGCAGGCTGGGAAGTGAACTCACCCCCAGGACTCAATTTCCACCCCAACTATACTCCGCTCTCTAAGGGGGATAATCACACTGGGAGAGGTACACACTCCTTGGAAAGATCAGCCATTTGGGATCCAGAGCGCAGCACTGACCCAAGGGCAGAGTTCAGAAGGGCTAGGAAAGGAGGCGGGATGGGAACAGGAACCCCAAGGAGGAAGTGGGACAAGTCATGTTTCATTGTGGGCTTGCAATCGGGGACGTGATACAAAAGGCATCTGAACTATTGCTGCGAAACTAACTGGTCTGTTCTGTATACCTTCACCCGAGTCACCAGCAAAAGTCTGAAACAACAACAGCAACAACAAGCAGGTGCAGTGACATCTGGCAGTCTGCTAACAAGGACTAAGGGCACCTGTGCCGGTGCACAGGTGCATGGGGAAGAGTGGTGTCTAGTGTCTGCCTCCATCCCACCCTGGCCTCTGCTTCCTCACCCTCTCCCTCCACTCCTTCCTCCTTCCCTAGCTGACATCAGACCCCCAAGCACGGCCAGCCCTTAGAGCCCTACCTGAGGGTGTAGTAGGCCTGGGCCAGGCGCCCCAGCATCCGGTCATCGCCCAGCACCAGCACCCGGGCCGTGTGCACCCGGGAGATTCCAGGCAGCAGCTCCCCGTCCCCGCCGGGCCCACCAGTCCTCCGGTGCAGCTCCGGGGCCCCGAGCCAGCTGCCTGGCAGCAGGAGGCCAGGCAGCCATGTCCGCTTCTTGATGCCCCCTTTGCGCTGCAGCCCGGCCCGCTCCGTCTCAGGGCTGCTGGGTGCAGGCAGCTCATCGGGCCCCGAAGGAAGGTCCCTCTCGATGCCGCTGTCCGTGGACAGCATGGACACCCGGGCCAGCTCCCGGTCTGGAGGTAGGCCCTGCAGATCCAAGGCTTCCAGGTCGGCGCTGAGGTGGAGGTGGGACAAAGGGCGCAGAAAGAGCACCAGCTCCTTCCCTGGGAGGCGGGGACAAGGGGGCACCTGAGACCAGCAGGTCTCATCCCAGGAAAGCATCAGCTCGTGTTCTTTAAACACTGCTCTGCAGAATGGAGCCCCCCCACCAAAAAAATTTTTTTAAACAAGCCAACCAATGGTTCTGAGGTCAATACCATTTGTGAACCCTTCCCATATCTGCCACCTCCTGTGAACGCCCTTGGCTGACATCGTATCCCAAACCCACCAGCCTCAAGTCAAGTCCAGCTCCTCAAGACTCTAGATTGGGTTTCTGAGGCTGTGTATCTTTATGAGAGCAGACAATCTCATCTTTCTCCAGTGGAGCGGCTGGTGGTTTTGAACCGCTGATCTTGCGTTTAGTGGCCCAACACGTAATCCGCTAAGCCACCAGGGCTCTCAGTCTTTCCCGAATCTCACTGATCCTGGAATCCTCTTTTTCATATATGTTAATGTTAAGGACTGAATGTTCTCTCCCCTCCTCCTCCACAAAAGGAGCCCTGGTGGCCTAGTGGTTATGCCATGGGCTGTGGCCGAAAGGTCAGCAGTTCAAAACCACCAGCCGATCCTCGGGACAAGGGTGAGGCTGTCTGTTCCCATAAAGATGTACAGCCTCAGAAACCCTCAGGGGCAGTTCCACCCTGTCCTAGAGGGTCACGATGAGTCCGTATCAGCTTGATGGCATGAGTTTGAGTGAGCCTGATCCTTGGGGACATTATCTGTTGGCATCACCGTGCATCTGTGACACTTAATGGGCACAGGAGGCTAGTGGCTAATACATTGTGTCCTTCCGCCGATGTGTGGAACAACTCAGGGCAGGGGACAAGGAGCAGAGACACACATGGGCACATGCAGATACGTACCCAAATGCACGGCCGGGGTCCACACAGAGCATGCACGCACAGGCTCATGTGCAGGAGAGCACACCAGCCAGTGCAGCCAGGTGCCCACTCAGGCGCCTTCTCCCACCGCCCCCCCTACACGACGCTCTTCCGATCTTGAAGTCCAATCAGGATGCTTACAGAGCTGTTCCTCGTCTCTCCACAGATGGAAGGTGATGTGAGGACTGGGCAGGGGGATGCTTGGTGGCCGGTCTGGGGGAGGGTCACCTGCAGGAAGGAGGAGGCTGTGGAGACCACAGAGGGCAGGAGGGTGGGATTCTTCAGTGCCCTCCCCAACCCCCTTCCCAGCTCCTGCACCCTTCTCCCCACCTGGCCTTGCTGAACCTGCCTTTCCCTGTGGCTTCCCTTCCTTCCCATCTCTGCCAGGGTCAGCTCAGCTCGTCCAGAGCCTAATGTCAAGCTGCCCGCCTGCTGCCCAAGAGTTCTTAGCGGTCCCCTGTCTGTGTCCTGCACACTTTTCTGCCCAGCAGTCAGAGCCCGTCTCCCACCAGCAGCGTGGGCGGTGTCTTACACTGGCTTCCCCCTGTGCTGCCCTCTCTGCCCCTTCTGGTCCCAGTCCAGCAGAATGAAGTCTTCCGATCACCTTCAGGCCCCGGAAGTATCTTGTAGACATCCCCAAATACCACACTCTCCGCCATCGAGGGATTCTGACTCACAGTGACTCTGTAGGGGGTGTCTGAGCCTTTCAATCTTTATAGGAGCAGACAGCCTCGTCTTTCTTCTCAGAGAGGCTGGCAGATTTGAACCACTAACCTTGCAATTAGCAGCCCACCCACTTAAACCTACTGGCATGAAGTTAATTCTGACCCATAGAGACCCTGTAGGACAGGGTAGAACTGCTCCTGTGGGTTTCTGAGACTGTACCTCTTTATGGGAGCAAACAGCCTCATCTTTCTCCCTTGGAGTGGCTGTTGGGTTTGAAACATTGACCATGCCATTAGCAGCCCAGTACTTATCTCACAGAGCCACCAGGGCTCCTTAGCAGTCCACTACCCAAAACCACACTCACTGTCATCAAATCAATGCCGACTCATAGCAACCCTAGACGACAGGATAGAACCGCCCCCCTGAGTTTCCAAGTCTGTGTGTAACTCTTTAAAGGAGTAGAAAAAGCCCTGTCTGTCTCCTGTGGAGCTGCTGGTGGGTTTGAACTGCTGAGCTTGTAGATGGCAGCCCACTCTGCCATCATGTGCAATTAACAGGCAGCAAAATGCTCAGGGCAGCAGGAACCAGAAGAGGTGAGCGAGACAGAGAGGCGGTTAGCCCGTCCTCCTCTTGCTTCTCCCTCGGGTAGTCTTCCAGATCACTCCAGCCACGTGGCTACTCCCTCCCAGGCCAACCTAACAGTCTGCACCTTGGACACACTTCATATCTAGGCTTAGGGTTTTTGTTTCTAAATCTCTATTCCCTATTAACTACCACACAGCCAGGGCTCCCTCCCTAACCGAGGCTGCAGGCTTCCTTTTGGGGCAGTGCCCAATGCTTCCTAAACCCCTGCCAGCCCCAGCCCACTGGATGGGCCCTGGCAGCAGCTCTGGGTCTCACCTTACTGCCATGGAGTTGATTCTGACTCATAGCAACCCTGAAGGGCAGGCCCGTGGTGGTTTCTGAGACCGTATGTCTTTACAGGTGTAGAAAGCCTTGTTTTTCTCCTGCAGAGCTGTTGCTAGTTTCGAACTGCTGGTTTTAAGGTTAGCAGCCCAATATACAACCCAGTATGCCACCAGGGCTCCTCTTGTTATCCTACGTTGGGAGAGAAGGAACCGGGGACACAGAGCTTACTACCTGGGCCAAGGTCACAGGGTAAGTGTCAGAACCTTAAGTGAAGCCCAGGCAGCCCATCTTAACCCTGATTATGGTTTTTATTAATGGCTGGCCAGTTGGTCCCCATACTCATGGGTGACCTAATGCCCCTGGTCCTGATCAGTTATGGATCAGAAGGCCGTAAGCCATAGGGTTTTCAGAAATAGATCACCATCATTCTTTCTACTCCATTTTAACCGGGACAAACAAACAAACAAGCAAGCAAGCAAGCAAGCAAACAAACAAACAACATCTCACCACCATCAAGTCAGTTCCAACTCACAGTGACCCTCTAGGACAGGGTAGAATGGCCCCCTGTGGGTTTCAGAGACTAAGTCTTTAGAGGAGTAGAAAGCCTCATCATTCTCCTATGGGACAGCTGGTAGTTTTGAACTGCTGACCTTGTAGTTGGCAGCCCAAAATGTAATCACTATACCACCAAGCTCTACTGGAACCGGCTTGGTTCTTAGCAACATGTAAACCTTTATGGAAAGACAAGTGGAGGCTGTATATTGGCTGGGAATCAAACTCGAGGTTCCTGAGCAGAGAGTGTGAATTCTACCAGGGACTCAACACTTCCCCTAGGTTCCGACCATACCTTGCTTTTCACTGCTGTTCCATGCCCCGCCCACCCCCTCCTCCCCGCCAATGGGAGCAAAGGCTCAGCAGGTGGGCTGGCTAATCATTACCAAGTCCAGGACCTGGGAGACTAGGGTCCCTGGCTGTCAGCTGGGTGGTGGTAGTGACAGTGGCCCAGACTGAGTCTTCTTGGATCCGGGCAGAGCTACTGCCCAAGTGGTGTCCATGGTTTGTCCCAGTTTGGGGAACCATTTCCATGAGGTGACCAGAAGTCATTTTGACTATTTAGAGAACACCGAGAAAATGGGTGGGGTCTTTAGGCAAGGGTCCTTCTACCAGCCTTTGCCCTTCCTGGGGAGAGGGGCCAGGCTGCCAGATTTGACACCTGGGACTGGCTTGCAGACTCCTGCTGGTGGTTTCTGGTCCACAGCCCGTGCCCAATAACTACGGGTGCCAGCCAGCGGTTGGGTATCAGGTTGCTACCTGGCAAATCCCGTGGGTACTTTGGGTGACCCTGAAACAGGGCACCAATCATGTCTGTTCTGTAACATGCAGGAAATCAACGCTCTGGGCTATTTAGGATTTCCCAGTGACAGTCATTGGGCTGCTAACCACAAGGGCAGCAGTTCAAAACCACCAGCACTTCCTTGGGAGAAAGATGCGGCTTTCTAGTCCTATAAAGAGTGGCAGTCTCAGAATCCCACAGGGCCAGTTTTACCCTGTCTTCTAGTTCTACCCTGTCTTCTAGGGTCGATATGAATTAGAGCCTGCCCAGTGGAAGCGAGTAAGTGAAACCAAGAGGTCTTGTCTCTGCGTCACCATTTACAGGACAAAAATCTGATTTGAAAGAAAAGGGTGCTGCCCAACACAATATTGACTCCACTGCTACTTTAGATGATCAAAGCGCTTGTTCAACTCATTGACCCCATGGAGATCAGAGGGCTCCAGAGGGCTGGCCATGGTAGATTTTTTCAGTTGATTACCAGGCCCTTCCTCCTCGGCACCCCAGGGTGGACTCCAACTTCCCACCTGTGGTTTACAGCCAGGGGCATGAACCTGTGGTACCCACCCAGGTGAAGAACGAAGGCAGGCTGAGTGTGGGTCTGCCATGTTCTGGTGTGTGTGTGTGTGTGTGTGTGTGTGTGTGTGTAATCTCTGTCAGCGCTCTCTTCTGTGAAATGGGGATCATGATCGTTTCTGTCTCATAGGTCTCCAGAGAGGACCAATTGATTTAGCTGAAGCAATGCATTTAAACGTCGGCACAGTGCTCAGAACAACACCCGGAGGATATATAGAAGATGCTTTGGGGATGTTAGCTGTGAATAGTACCATCATGAGATAAAGCATGGTCTTCTTGCCCTGGTGCAGTAGCGGCGGTCACTCCTTGGTCAGCAGTTCGAAACCACCAACCCCCTCTGCAGGAGAAAGCTGGGCCTTTCTACTCCCGGAAAGAGCTACAGTCTCAGACACCCCCAAGGGGCAGTTCTAGCCTGTCCTATAGGGTTGCTATGAGTTGGCATCCACTTGAGGGCAAGGGGTTTTCTTGCAACAAGTTTCACAGGCTCTCTGGTAGCCACCAGCCTGCTCGCCAAGCTCCCGAGCTCCCTCACACCTCCGGGCAGGTGTTTCGTGGCGTGGGCTGGGGCAGCCTTGCTGCTCCGGGTCTTACACGTGGCTGGGGAGTCACTTACAGCTGCGGGGACCCCTCGAGGCCGCGAGGGGCCCCAGAAGCGAGCAGTAAATCTCTTCCAGTCTCTCCTGGTGACCCGCGCGGTTAGGGCTGGGCTCATTGGCCATGTGCTCCACTGCGGCCACCACGGCGTGGAAATACAGCTCCAGGGTGCGGCGGGGGCTGGCCTGGCGGGAGGGACGTGAGATCCTGAGTTGGGGGCCAGCATGCACACACCCCATCCCCTAAACCAACCCCCCAGGGACAGGACAGCTGAGCGTGGCGCCTCCCTGTTGACTCCGAGGCATCTGGCCAGAGTTTCCCTGCAGAAGGGATCCGGGCCACACAAGCAGGCCCCTCGTCCTGACTGACGCCACCTGAAACTGGGGGTCCCTCCTGCCACCACCCCCTGCCCAGCTTCAGCACCCATGCCACACCCGCCCCCGCCCCAGCAGGAGAGACCACTGGTGTTCTGCGAGGTCGGTAACCTAGAGGGGCGGGGGTGGCTTCTGACCCCACTCCTTTTAGGGTATTCCCCCACCCCCAAGCATTTGGACCAGTGTTCCGGTCCCCACCCCCACCCCCACAGGAGTGTGTCTGTTTTCTTTAGCGCAGCTTCGCCGGCATCTAGGATGTTTTCTGCACATAGTGGGGGCTCAGTCGGTGTTTATGGAATCAATGTGTTCTAGGCATTGGGCTGCCGGCTGTAAGGTTAGCACCCTGCCGGCTGTAAGGTTAGCACCCGCCAGCTGCTCCCAGGAAGGAAAAGGGCGCTGTCTGCTCCAGTCAAGATGTTTAATCCCAGAAACCCTTCCAGGGTCGCTTGAGCCCCCGTCAACTCGATGGCAGTGGGTCTAACCCCTGCCAGTTCCTATGACTTTCACGTACCACCTACACGATTACTTACACTATGTTTTTCCTCAATCAATGCAGCGTGTTGGGTCCAAAAGTATTTCAAAAGGAAACCATGTCGACACTGAATAAAGTAAGTGTCACTTGTCATCAATAGCTGATTCTAAAATGAATGTAATCACAGAGCACTGTTACTCAGTTCTACCAGGCTTTGCTGCCTGCCAAGGTTTTAAGACTTCGTTTTTTTGAAGAAGAAAAGGTGAAGGGTATCAGTATAAGCTGAGTCTTCCTCCTTACTGGACACAGAAGGCTTGAAAGAGAAGGAGAAGGGAGTATTTACTCTCTCCGTGCCATTCAACACTCTAAGGCTATAGCCAGACACCCCATGACCTAGCGCCTCAGCACCTCTTCTCCGGCTCTCGTCTCTCATGCCCATCCCCCCAGCAACAAGCGAAGATGCAGGATCCAGAACAAATGCCAAGGCCAGGCATACCAGGCAACTCCCTGATCTTGGGGCTAGCTTAACTCCTCAGATCCAGGGTCCGCAGGACATCTGATTAACTGTCAAAAGGTCCGAGAGCTGTTGAAAGAACCAATCAGGACCGGGCTTTACCTCCATCCGCTCTTCCTTACATACAATATCCATTGAGTGCCCATTCTGAGCCAGGCACTGCTGAGATACAGCAATGAACAAAACAGACATAAGCAATCTGTTTTCGTGGGTCTGTGTATGTGTGTGTGTGTGTGTGTGTGTGTGTGTGTGTGTGTGTGTGTGAT